AAGACGCGAGGCCATGCAGGCTATGGAAAAGGGGTTTTCTGATGCTTCCCGGAGTTTTCAGGTGCTGTGGCTAACGCTGCCTCTTCGGCCTTACTTTGAGCACATTACCCAGCAGGGAGATGCTGCTGACCTGCTCATCTCGGCCAGTTTTGACACGGGGTTAAAATTCCCTTTTGTGCAAATGAGTGGCAAGTTAAAGAAGAGAAACCCTATCTGCCTGCAAGGGCTGTGAGCTGCCCCTAAGGGTATGATTGGACCCATAGAGCTGAACGGGAGGGAGGGGCTGGGGGTTTTTTACTCCATATAGACATGGGACGGTGTAACTGTGATGCACAGATGCTATCACGTGGTGTTTCATAAATTCCTCTACTCTTGTAGCTGCTTGTTGCTGTGTGACCATGGGTTCTTTAAGCCTCTTGCTTGGTCAGTGCCTGGGATGGCTGGTGCCAAGGGAAGTACAGAGCAGGTAGGAAGGAAAGTGTACAGGGCACTTGCATTATCTCTTACATCATTAAAAGGCCTTGCAGAGGAAGAGGCAGAAGGTGCAAGGAGAAGAAACAGGTGCTTCTGTGCTGGTTTCTGCCAGAGACATCCCGTAAGACAGCTCTTCTCCCTGGGAGAGAGTCTTCCTGCATGCCTGACCTTTCCGTGTGCAAGGTAAGACCCGGATCAGACCCACTGATGTGCTGAGCGTGCATCACGGCAGAAGTCTTTCAGAAATGCTGAGTATTAAGTCTGGAGCATTTCAAGTTGAGCATCCACATCTTGAGGAAAAAAAAAGGACAATTTCAGCCTTGCAGTTGGCTCTTTGTACGTAAGAGGATAATAGTTTTTTCTTCCTCCGGAACAGCAGCACAATAAATACAAGATTCACTTGTGAAAACTGCTGCAGAAGAATCTCCAACACGTGCTGAATAGTGCTGTATTCAGCATGAGATTTGGGTGGTGTAAAACTACAAAGGAGGGGAAGGTAAGGGTAGTGATCCATTTATCCTGCGCTCCTAGGGGATGAAGTTCTGCAGAGAGTAGTGCGGGATCAGTGACAGAGACTGTCATACATGGCCACGAGAGAGATGAGTAGAAGATAATTTTTTTCGAAACCATGGATTGCTTTTCCCTGCTGTCTCAAGGAGAAAGCATCTAAAGCAAAGCGGCGTTTCTGTGTTACTGACTTGGTCAATGAAATCCTGTATGTATGGTGCCACATAGGCATTCTGTAACAGATGGTGTGCTTGTGTCATGCAGATGGGCTCCAGGGTTTCACAGCTCTTGTGCTCCAGGCCCTACTCAGAAAACAGCCTTTTACTTCATCTGCAGGATTTCATCTCTAATTATGGTAGGAGGAACGAGCGCGGCGCGTGGCAGTGGGTCAGGCTGGCCGCCGTGCTCTGCTCTGGGCTCCGCCTGCTATGGAAAACGGTAGCAGGCACGCATCAGGTTAGCTGGAGGTGATCTAGGGCCCATCCACCACTGTCCAAAGTGCAGAATTAAACCCAAGTCTCAGCAATGGCCCTCCCAAAATCTGACTTTTGCAGTGGGCTGGTGCCAACTTTGGTGTCTGGGAAGGTGTCAGCTGGAGCATTTGAGGCGACTGTACAATCTCTTCTCCATGTAGGTTTTCTGCCGAGATCTGGCCACAGCCTCGTCATTTTTCAGCGTGTTTAATAACAGTCTCTCCACACCTCCTGGTTCTGACTAATTATCGCAGTGTTCTTGGGGCCTCCCTTCCCTGTTGGATTTGGTTGGGTGTCAGCAAATACCTTGTAGTAGGAATTTCTGGAGCGAGTTAAAGGGAGATCAAGAGTTTGATCACTTAGCTTTCCGTCTTTAAGAAACTGAGGTAAAAAAAGTACAGCTGTCTTTTGTCTGAACAGTGGCTAATTTATTTAGTTTAAAAAAAAAAGCACATTACTTGCATGGTCGCCCGTTTTTCCTAAATGAAACCGTCAACTGGTTTTAATTGTATAAAGATACGTAGGAATGGAATGAGAGTTCAAACAGCTCTTTTACAGCACTTTAAACGGGCATGGTACTTCATATGTATCCCCACAATAATGCATACCAGATGAAAAGATGCTGCGGAATTTGTGTAATAAAGGTAAAAGCCCATATATCTGCCTATTCTAATGGATGAGAACCAAAACAGAACAATTCTATATGGCAAAAATAACAACGAACCCCAGTGCAGTTCTTGAAGTCAGGTTTCACTTGCTGCAAAAGGACACTGAAGAAAAAAAAACAGCACAGGACTTCCCTGAGCAGCGGCCAGGCTGGGTAAGGAGATGGGCTGCGTATTTATGCCTCCTGATGGCTGCCCCAGCACTCTCGCAGTACCCTTAAAGGTCTTTCATCTCCCTCCGGTCTGGAGTTCAGCTGTGGCAGTGTCCCAGGAGCTACCTTGTGAGCTCCTGTGCCATTTGACTGTGAGCAACTCTTTTTTTTTTTTTCCCTTCCCTGCCTCTTGTTTTTAACTGCATTTTAATATCCATTTAAATGAGGTGAACTGGTTCTTGCACCTTGAACTGTTTAGTGAATACCTCTGGAGACGTTTGTTGTCACCTTCAGGAGAGGAGCAAGCCCAGCCAGGTCCTTCTAGTTCTGGTCAAGGTACAGGCAGTAGATTGTCCTTGCTGACAGACCTGTGCCAGCCGGCTTCGGGTACCAAATTCACCGCTGGATTCTTTGCTCTTGGCTTGCCAGTCAGACACCAAATTTAGATCTGTTTGTAGAAGTGCAGCCACAAGAAATGGGAAACTGAACCTGCTGATTTCATTCCTCATTTTTAAATGTGACTTTGCGACCTCGGTGAAGCGATTGATGGTTTGGATTCCAGGTCTGGCTGGAGATGCAAGGGTTGGTGACTGTCCCAAAACTAGGACTGAGAAAGAGGACTTTACTCCACACTATCTAAGGAAAGGTTACTTTAGTCCTTATTTAAAACGAAGACTGTCTGTAACATCTTCACAAGACTGAATTCCCTCTGTACACCTGTTTTCTGGGGACAGCAGCACGTTATTTGCCATTAGTCTGCTAAACTCTTAAAAGAGGAAAAAAAATTATTTCTAGAAGAGGAAGGGTCCTTTTTAACAGCATCTGTCCCCCTTGGACACAGTTTCTGCAGGTTCATTCCTTCTGGGTGTTGTTGTTACAGTTCTTGTGGGGATGTGTCATTGCTGTCAACCTCGAACCTCAGCAGTCCTCGTCGGAAGGATGACATGACTCAGTCCACCCTCGTCTTGCCCCGACCACGGCATTATATTGCCCAGGTCGGCCTGAGCTGAGAAGGAAATGTCGGAATAGGAGCTCCCCACAGAAACTGGGAGCCCGAGTTGGGGTTTATACATCTGCTGTGATGCTGAGCAGTAAATGACAGAACAAGTTTAAAAGCTTTTTGCAGCTTGCCACTGTTTTTGTTGTCGATACAACCTGATGTTTGTTAACGTGATCCAACAAGTATCCTTTAACGACCTCATTTGGGGAGCTTGTGAGACTCGGAGGGCCGCTGGGGGAGTTCTGTTTCATGGTGCTGCACTTCCGAGACCTGCTTAGCTGTCCTGGTTGCTGTCAAACGATGCTTATGAACTCCTGCTCATTATGAAGTACTGATTGGAGGCAGAAGTCTTCTGGGGAGGGTGATCTTTTCTGTCCCAATCTAATGGTCTCTTGACTTTAAACTTAAATGTGTTCCCCGATAGAAGTCAAGTTAAATACAGCTTTGCAGGAATTTTTAATTTGAAGGTATGAAACATCTTTGTGAAGGTCTTTTGCTCAACTGAGTTGTTTTTTCATGTGCTGCCAGTATCTGATCCCACTTCTTGACCTTTAATATACACTGAGAGAGAAGATTAGGATGTTTCTAATCAGCTGAATCTCCCCTCTGGGAGCACTATTAAATCCTGACTCTCAGCTTTATCTCTGCCAGGTCTTGCCAGCCCTTCGTGTTTTTGGGTTTGTTACCAGCTGAGGTCGGATTTCGGTCACCTCAAAGGTTCTTGTTCAATTGGGGCAGTTTCTTGGATCCTTTCTGTAGGAGTTAAGACACCAGCGAGTGACTCTGCTTGGAGGCAGACCTCTTCGTTTCATGTGCGTTAGTGAGCCAGACCTTATTCAGTGAAATAAAGTCCTTTTTTTGTGCAGGATTATTGCTAATCCTACCCACCTCGTCATTAGTGGGGCTTCATCAAAGGTCTTCAGAATCAAACTTGAGTGGTTTTGAGGCACTAAGTCAGGTGCCTCATAGATCTTCAAAATATTATATCATCTGGTTTCTTTTAACACCCAAGGTTGTAATTTCATTGAAATGCCAGGTCTGCTGGCAGTTAATTGGTAATGAGTATTGCATTTCAGGCCATTGTTTTGATGAGGATTTAAGTGGGGCTAACAAGTCCGTGGCTGTGGGGCTCAGCGTACATTGCGTGGCCCAGTGACACCAGCAAGCAGTTTAATGTCAAAGCTGCAACTAGTCGTTGTCAAATGGAGCCCCTTGAGTTGTGTATCTTCCCTTTGTGGTTTCAGTATCCAGAATTTTATCCCTGAAAGTGGTACAGACAACAGATTGCACTGCTGGGGTCTGTACCGTCCTGAAAAGCTTCGTTGATCTCAGGGAAGGGCTGAGCCCAGGAGGTCTGACGTGCCCTTTGATTCCAGTGGCTCCCGTTCCCCAGGGTGGTCCCTGTGCCCATCCGCGTCCTTGCCCCGTCTCACGAGGCTCTGTAGCTACAGAGAAAGGAGGGGAGTGGTCTGGAGTCATTGGCGAAAGCTGGATGCTTTGTTTCCATCCAGAAACACTCATCCTGCAGACCCTGGTCTTAAATTACTGAGCTTGCAGAGAAATCTGCTCGTAATTTTTTTCTTGTAAGCCCTTTCTTGTCGAGCAGAGATTTTGGCAGAGAAGAGTGGAGGCGCTGGAGAATCCCCAGTTCTGCCTGGTTATACCAAGCCTCCTCAGATCTTTCCTTGGAACGAGCAGGCAAGAGGAAATACTTTCCATTTCAGAGAAGCGTGGACAAACAACGTCGCTTCAGACGGAGAAGAAAAGCGGCAGACGGGAGTTACAGCGCTGAATCCTGCTAGCCAAAAGCATGCTCTTGCCTTTATTCAATCATTCCTGGAACACAGTGTTCTTATTGTATTCCTCCTCACCCCGCTCAGTGCCTCTCCACGGGCTCAGGACTCGGAGATACCCCGACCACAGCGCTGGCGGGCTTGAGGAAGTTAAAAAAAGCATCAAACGCATCGCGGAAACGGACCCTCTCCCTCGCCTGACGCGTTTTCTGAAAACCTGGATCCCGTTAGAAAGGTTCCTGCTGTCTGGAAAACAAAGTACTCACTCGCCTGGTTTAGTCATTAAGTAAATTTGTGGTTTGGTTGAGACGAAAAATAATGAAGAAAAGCTGTTGAAATCTCGGGATTAATTTGATAGTTTGCAGGCAGTGGTGTTTTTAAACGGAGCTGCTGCCTTCCTTCGGCTGCGAGCAGACCCAGGTATAAACCTGGGCTTCCCTTCCTCCCCATGCCACAGAGGCAGGCATTTGGAAGTAATTAGTTTGACGAAGGCCCTTGCAGGCGAGGGGGATGCTGCGGGCTGGCAGCCGCCTTGTGTGGGTGTCTG